GGATCTCATCGGACCACACCACAGAGAACCAGGTAGATAATATTTGTATTTATTTGTGTGCTCCCAACTACATGGTTGGTTATACGTGGCACACGTTCCGTCGTAAACACACATAAGTCAAATGGGTCTCACCCGATAACACTACAGAGAATCAGATCGATCATATTTGCATCAATGAGAAAGTTCAAAAGGATAATGGAAGACATGAGAACCAGGGGAGGAGCTGACATAGATTCAGATCACCATCAACTGGTTGTGGCCAACATGAAACCGAAATTAAGGAAACACCAACCAGCTGGGGAAACAGCGGCATAAAAGTTCAGTACAGCCTACCTTCTAGATACCAACCCATTCACACTTGATGGCGAAGCCCTAGAAGATGTGGGATGTTTCACGTACAGCATTATCGATGGACAATGAGGATGAGATGCAGACGTAAATGTAAGGATTGGCAAAGCAAGGACAGTGTTCCTACAATTGAAGAACGCATGTATCTCAAAACAACTGTCAACCAATATCAAAGTCACGATCTTCAATACGAACGTCAAGACAGTTCTACTGTACGGAGATGGAACTTGGAGAACTACTACGACCATCATCAAAAAGGTACAAGTATTTATAAACAATTTTCTACGCAAGATACTCAATGTCCGTTGGCCGGATACCATCAGCAACAGCCTACTGTAGGAGAGGGCAAACAAGCTTTGACCTGAAGAGGAAATTAGGAAAAGACGTTGGAAGTGACTAGGACATACATCGAGATCATCAAACTGCATCACAAGACAAGCCCTAACTCGGAATCTTGAAGGGAAGCGGAAAAGAGGGAGGCTGAAAAACACACTTCGTCTGGAATTGGAAACAGACGAATAACAACTGGAAAGGACTGCCCAGGACAGAGTTGGATGGAGAATGCTGGTGGGCGCTCTATGCTCCTCCAGAAGGGGTAGCAGGCGTATGTATTTTTAGAAAAATATTTCCATCTAGTAAATTATGCTCAAAAGTAATTGCTATAGTTAACCGTGTTTCCTATTGATTTCAGTAAATGGGTGTTTTACAACTCTGACTTACGAATGATAATAGCCCATTCGCCATGCTACCTATCTAGTTTATGTCAATTAAAAGTCAAGCTGAATCAGACGACGTAAACAACTGCATTATTCAATGTGAAAGCATATGAAATAAAAATGTCCCTATCTATATATATTTCATATATAAGACAAGCAAGTAGATCACTCAATGTAAGCAACGAAAATAGGTTTTGATTAGCAAAATAAATCTTGAACATCAAATGATAGAATACCAAAACCATTAGAGTTTGGTATAGATCTACTGAAGCTTGCATCAAAAGTAAACTAATCTGTGAGCTACAGTCACTTTATATAATTCAATTCATTGAGTACAGCCAATTAGCAAAATCAGTTGCTTGATATTTAAAGAATCAAGTATCTGACAAAATACTATTTTTATCATGTTAAGACTAATAACTATTCTTTAGCACATATTAAAGCTGCCATTTTATAGGACATTAGAAGGGATGAGTTTTGTAAGCGTTACTTATTGATTGTAGGGTACAGACAGTGAAAAAATGTAGCGACACATGCACACTATCAAATGTTTTGGTTAGAGTAAACCCTGGAAAGAACCGTTTCTTCACATTGAACAGTAATAATATTGAGTATACTAATATCTCAATTTATTTATAGGACTGAAATATATTATAGCTATTTATTAACATTTGTGTATGAAGTCTGCTACAGATAAGCTTAATAGCTTTCTGTATTTCTTATTAGTTTTTCAAAGATATTCATTTTCTACTCTCGTTACTCAATATGTCATCATGTACACTACGTAAATTGTATCCGGTATTTTCGATTATTTTGATATTGATTCTTTTGGATGCTCTGAAAAAATTAGGCGATAAATCGCAACAGTTCTCATTCCAAGTTTCAATCTTCATGATATCCATAGGTTTTATCCTGACATATGTTGAGTTACCGTCGTGATATATTTAGCAGGTGACATGTGTGATACTGAATTAGTTAGCGTGTTGTTTTCTTTCAATTTTTTCTCATTCTTTATGCTAGTTTCCGATATTCTAAAACAAAACTCAGTTATCTTATGCAATAGAGATACCAAATCAAAGGATATATTCATGAAATATCTTCAGATAATTGAATAAGATTAGCCATATCTAAGACAATTGAATCAAACAATGAAACTAAACAAAATGTTTGTTGCACAGATAAAAATAGTATATTCCAATTTAGTTTTCTTATTACAATGTAACACAGAAAATACTCAGTAACTAATATACTCTTAACAGGAAAGCTGATACTATTTCAGAAAGTTTATCATCCTCATATGGAATATTATAAGCTTTTTATTTATTTCCATTAACATAATATATTTTAATATTCATTTGAAATCATGATACGAGGATTTGAAGTACTTGTTTAATGCTTAAATTTTATTCGAAATAAATATCCGCACATAGTGTTCGAGTTCTATGGCTTGTAGTAAACTTAGGAAACATTGAATGTATCTTCCAAAAGAATTTTTTAATAGGCATATGTAGAAATAAAAATGAAAACAAAAAGAGCATTACGTAATCGATGATTCGCAGATAAATATTACATAAAACCATTTAATAAGATTTGATGTGTATAAAACTGAATACTGTTTGATCTATCATATATGGGAAATCATTTGACTATATACTGATATTTTTGGTGTTCTAGTTTAAAATAACTCAAGGGAGTATTCTTAGGTATTTTTGAAGTATCAGTTGATTGGAACCACTTTCTATTAGACTAAATCATATTTCCTCATGTTGTAAACGAATTACTTATGGATGTAATTTCAGTGAATTGTTGATAAAAGTTCTAAGAATTTAGATTTTGAATGAACATCCAATACTCAACACCATATGCATAAAAATAAGACTTGATATAGATCAGAATGCTTTCTCCTCAATAAATTTTGAAATAAACGTATCTAAGCATCAATTGATGTATGATCGTTCAAACCATGATTATGCAGGAAATATTTTGTCATAATACTTAAGCTACTTACTAAAAATAGGTAAACTTCATAGTTATTGATAATAATTTGATCAGGTAGATTTCACCAAACAAATCACCCGATCATAATTGAATAATTGAAGTTTTCTTAACGTTAATTTCTTTCTTAGCAGATAATAGATAATAGAATATGCTTGGTTTTGTAATAAGTCTGGGATAGACATTTTCATAAACATTGGTGTCGGTGCAAAACTTAGTAATATGGCCGTAGATTTCAAATTAATCCGATAAGTTGTATCAAATTTTCTTCCGAGAGATGATTATGAATCAAACGGGATCAACTATTTATTTCACGTATAAATGGATTGAAGACTGTGACGACGGACCACGGGTGAACTCGAGGAAGCTATAAGAGGCTCAGAAGGAGCCGAAGATATTCCATCCAATCACCGTTAGGAAGAATATTCTAGAATTCCTATGTGTAGCTTCCCGATTGGACAAGGCTAATAATCCCCTGTATGCGGATTGGAGGACTATAATGATGATTTTTATTCTTACTAAAAACTATAAATACCCGACAATTTGTACCCTTAATTGACACTGTTTGGAATAACATTTCTTTCACTAGTCTTCTATCTTCTCCTTGCGACTTGGAAGGGTTTTGGCGTTCTTGTGTTCAGTTATACGCGGTCTATCGAGTAATCAAACTTCTAGATATAACAAAGACCTAATTATTAATTCATAAATTTCAAATAGGTTGTGTTTACTTCGACCTGAATAAGCAGACTATAGTTCTAGCTCAGCAAACAATAGGTATGGATTAGAATTGAACACATAGAAATATACTTGACCAATCAGTTGGATTACATATTACTGAAATAGACAATGAGCTTAACCCAAATCCAAGGAAAACGACCGAAATCTTGAAACAAAATGAAAATCGTCATTTGATAGATTCAAACAATAAAGCTTATTCTCGTACCAACATTACACTCACTTGCTATACATATTACGTGTTGGCAGGAAGAACGTTGGTCTCTGAACCGCATTTACACACGCAAAAAAACCATCACGTGATCAAATTAGGAGAATATATAATGTGCTACACATTATTTTGTTTGCTAAATAATAATAACGAATGTACAAAATAACATAATGGTTACATTTAGGTGGAGTTTTGTTCTGTAAGTTGGATGGTTTGGTCGTGGAGTTCTCGTTGTTCTTCTGAACAACATCATCAAAAAAATGTCAGGTAGAAGTTTGTGCTAATGATGTTATCCAGAAGAACAATAAAAGCTCCACGACCAAACCATCTAACTCATAAAACAAAACTCCACCTCAGCTACAAATCTTCACCATCTCATAATGGTCACTTGAATATATGACTATCAATTATCTCAATCAACGCAAGTGTTCAAAAGCTTAGATTCTAAATATTATCTTATCAGTCATTTTTAATAAACGACTTCCAAAAGTTTGAATGGAATTTCGTCAGTACTAAATTGTTTACTTCTAGAGATAAATTACTCATAAGTAAATATGTAACAAAATAAACGGATGCGAAAACCTACCAGGTTTCAATATATCACTTATAACTGATTAATAATCAGTAAATACAAGAAATCAAATATCTAATGACAATTATAGTACCACTGAAAATATTTTTTTTAAAAAAGAAAGAAAACAAATCAAAAATGACTTGTGGAAATTAAACAAAAAAAACGAAAAACAATTTTGTAATATTACAAATTCCATTATTACCAAATGAATTATATACATAAAGCATCACTTTGAAATTATACATGAATATAGAGGAAATCATCCTTTGAAATAGGTAATTCTATGTCCATTTGATAAAAAAAAGCAAATTTGTACTTTATTTTTTTGATGCGTAACATTTCAAATGAAATATAAAGTATCATGATATAGATTATTCATTTTAGAAGAAAAATTTCTGTAAGAATTTTAATTAATAAACAATTAAGAATTATCTGTATTTCTTACAATAACAATACGAGATGATGACGGTGAAACAGAATTAGTTGCTTTTGTAGAGACAGAAGAAGAATAAGAAACAGGATTATTCTTCGCATGTTCAATTCTGATAGATCTAGGTGAATTAGTTTGTTTTGGTGTAGACAAGGAAGATGATGAAATGGGACTATTTTTTGAATTTTCGATTTCAATAAGTTTAGATGACTCATTAATCTGTTTCGGTGCAGATAATAAAAGCCAAGGCTGTTGTTGATAAACAACAGTTTCTCCCTGAAACATAAATGATATTAGTAGAAACATAAAAATGGAAATAAATTTTCACTTTATGTGTGAACTGACATGAGTTAACGGAGGAACTTTTATACATTTTCGTTTACTTTTTTCTTTCATTTTAAACTTTAGCTATACGTGTAAATATTCTGCTCGAAAATTTTTTAGAACCTTGATGTGCCCACATTCCAGTATTGAAGTTCCCACTCTACCCCACTACTTATCGCTACAAACACTAACCTATTGAGTTCAAATAGCCATCAACTCATTTAATAGATATGAAATTATTTGTTAAGCATGATATTCTTCTGTTGACGACATTCATTATTAAAGGACACTTTTGCAGTGAAGCTATCATCGTATTGCTACTATTGAAAGTATATACTCGACAGTTTATTCACCGTTGGCTGATTAAACTCTGGTATTTTAAAACAATAAGTATATGAAGCAGATAAAATCAACACACACACTTACGAGTACTCAGACATCATCAGAACAGTAAACATCATATGGAATCACAACGTATTTGGGTTGGCTTATGAAAAACTATATCGAATATCCCGAAATGAAAGTATATAGACAATTCTAAGATGTTACATCCACAAATAATGTGATTGCTGTTTCATAATAAATATTTCTGTGTTATTAACTTTATAAATGACTAATAAATACACTTAACTAGTTTAGCAAAACCATAATGATTTACTATGTTGAATATAGATTACAATAAACTAAAGATTAAATTAATTGACAATAACTTACACTAAGTGATTCACGTTGTCTTAACTGTACTTGCAGACGACCCCCTACTACTTTACGACCTTCTTTCAAATCACCAACATGAGTTACGGTTGCCGATTGGACAAGTCCAGTAAGAGGGATTTCAGTTATACCTAGTACACCCCAGCTTCGAAATATACCACGATTGTAGTATACCTGAGAACAGAATAGAAATGAGATTTTAAATGTTTATTGTTATAGTATTTCAACACAAGAAGATATGAGTTAAAATGAATTAAAATTATTCATCTATAGGTGATCCTATGTCAAATGACACTTGAATAGTTTTTCAGTTTTGAATTAACTAGTTAAGAGGCAGTCAATCACAAAAAAATGAGTTGTCAAGTTGAATAACATTCTTCTTATGACCTTTTAAGTTAAAGGATACCATAAAAAAATGTGAAAAACAAAATTGAAGAGAAAATTTACACTTAAAGAATAAATATAGGTCTCATTACATATAATAGATATGAAACTGAAGATTCCCGACCATATATTGTCTGGTTTTCCAATTTTTATTCATCATAAAGATTACAAAGACAGTATTAAAGAACTGAAATTTACAATAGTTACATAAGTACTTCGATGACTTTTATAATACAGTTAGCAATACATCTCTTAAGTAATAATAATAATAATCGAATATTAAATTCTTTCAATTAAATTTAGACTAGAATCTGATCAGCTATTTCGTGAGCATAAAATGATCAAAGTAAATGAAACTAAAATATAACCAAATCACAAGAGTAGAGAGAGATGATGCTTACATATCAACTAATAATCAATTTTAATGGAAAGCTATTAATAAGTTAATGATTTTTCATCTTGTATCGTTTGAATATTATTAATTATACTGACATAATCATATGTTTATTATTCATATGGTTCAAAATTTTCTATAATTATAATTTTTACTAAAAACTTATTTAGTTGATTATTGGAGTATACACATATGATGTGAGAAATACTTTCTGGTTACGATCAATTTTATGGTTCATTAAAATTACACACATATAATTTGGAATTAATAATGACCTAGTGGATGAAACATATACGTTGGATGCCGATGTTATGCCTATAATACAAAAGTTGAATACCGAATTCATGTTTAGTTATCTTTTTAGCACTTACTAAACAAAGTATACAACTTATACACTAAGATGATGTACCAGGTGAGTCTATATTAAACAGGTACTTTGGCTTATATTAACCCATATGGAAAATTATGAAAATGAATTCGTCTGGAAAAATGTTACGACATACAATGAAAATCAGAGAATTTTTGGAAGTTTAACAATTTAATTAGTCAATAGTCAATAAACAAACTGAAATAGACTTAGTTTAGGAACCAAAAATAAAAATGACTAACTACAAAATTAGAGATCAGTTGTTAAAGGAATAATATTATCGACATAAATATACATACGGTAATAGAACAAATACGAACAACAGTTAATCGAAATTCATCTTGAAAGAACAAGAAGTTAATTGGTTCTATGAAAATTTTAATGAATCGCTTCCGCATTGATGATGTTATTTAGGAAGATAATAAAAGCTACATAACTAAACCACATAGAACAAAAAACACTATACCATCAAAATCTCACTACTGAGGCACTAATCTTCCCTATCGTCTAAAACGAGGATAACATAAATATCAATAACCAAGTACTTATTTATGTACTTGACTTTCAGTCAAACATTTTGTGCATAGGTTAATTGATATCAACCGTTTTTGATACCAAATTATTTGAAGCCGAGTTTGACTCAATAAAATCATAGTTACCAGTAGTAAAACTGACCAAGGGAAAACACAACCTTAATATTCATACAAAATATTACATAGAACAATGCAATTTATGTGAACATACAATTATAAACTAATACAACAGAAAACTAACTTACTGTTGCTTTTAGACAACGATTATTCTGAACAAATCGTCTATATGAATGACTTTTTGTATTTACACGAAATTCTTTAACTGATTGACTATATATTGGTTCGATACTTGATTTAACTACACTTGTAGATAACTTCATTGGTGGATTGGCATTATTTAAACTGAATTCAACTTCAACATAAGTATCAATATTTGAATAATGTGATGGAAGTGGATAAGCTATACCATGAATATTACTAACTTCAAGTATATCATCCGCTAAATCAGCATTCAAATTACATTTAGGCAAATTGGCATATTCAAAATATGCGGTCAAATTAGATACATGTTGATTGTATTTAGATAATAATTTCTTGATACACGTATTTACACTAAGTAAATCAGACAATTTCGATAATATTGATTGTGCATTAGCACCACCGTTACGACGGTGTTGATTTATTAAATTGTTAATTAGTTGTTCTTGTTCTGATAAAATTTCTGAGTATGTTTTAAATAATTGATCACCTATATAGAACATATAAAATTTATCTTGAAATATAGGGTTGTTCAAAAATTATTAAGTAACAAAGAGAACATATCATAATGCTTGATTGTAAGGGTTTCCTGTCGTTAATATTAAGGATTATAAGTGGTTAGAAACCAATGTAGTCTTTAGCATTAACAATAGTGAACAAGTAGGTGGCTTTTTGGATTAAATAGTTCGATGGACAAAATGCTGATATTTAAAGTGAAAGGCATTAGGTTCGAGTCCCGGGATAGTCACTAATAGTGAAATGGAGGCACATCTAGTTGACAAGTTCCGAATAAGACGAAATGCGTACCCTAAATCCCACTGCTAGACACTATCCAACTCTAGTGAAAATTATTTTGATAGTATTATCATACATAATTTAAGTGATAAATACAAATCAATACGAATTTAAATAGATTTCGTTAAGTATAATTCCTACCGTTAATCTTGTACTCATTAAACATTATGTAACCCTAGTATACAAATGAATAATAGTGTGAGCTATGCTACAGCCAGGAATTTGTTCTAAAGAATTGTAGTTAATCAATCAATTACAATCAACAAACAGACCGGGTAAATTCCCATAAAACATTAACACGATGAGATGAAGTTAACAAGATGGATGGCAAAATAATCGAAATATTTGTAGTAGCATCAGTAATCAGGAGTACTAAACAGTTAGAGTCTGTTCAAGAAAATAAAATGTGAAAGTATATATGTATGAAGGGAAACTGAAACTGAAGATCTAGGAAGATTAAGAGTGAATGCATCTGAGGTAGGTCAGCAAAGAACAACAACGTATGGGATAAATCTCAATGGGGTCAAACGGTTACATTTCATAACAATACAGTAGGGAAAAAAAGACAGAGTAAAGATGTAAGAATAATGGATTGTCAATTACAATGGCGAACGAATGAAATAATGCAACAAAGACTGAAATAACATTCACATTTCAACGACAGAGAAAATATACATACAACTGTACCACCAAGACAGAATTTGAGGTGCAACTAACATCTCCCGTCTGTCGATATTTTCCTCATATATGATTAGTGTGTCATCTATGTATCGACAATAATAATCACGCTTACTTAGGATGTCTTCAAGCGGTCCATTTTCTAGTTTGGTCAGAAAAATATTAGCAAGGATCGGGCCTAAAGGTGATCCCATTGCTACCCCATTTACTTGTCTGAAAAATTCATTGTTGAACTGAAAGTGGATATTCATAGTGCATTTCAACAGAAGTTCTTTCATTTTACTTACTGGGATAGGTATCGCTGTTTTCTTTTCTAGCAGTTGTTCACACATCTAATCGATAGTTTCAGTCAGAGGGATGTTAGTGAACAAAGATGCTATGTCTAGTGATAGCATGGCTTTGCCATTTATATTCATATTTTTAATGGGCTCCTCCATGTGTATATACCAATTCAACTGCTCCTGTGGAGCTAGTTACATAGGCCGTACTCAGAGGGTTTTATCCTTGCATGTTCGTGAACATGTACCGGCATGGTTGGGAAAAGGAGTTACCAAATCGATTAACAGCACCATTCTTTCTCACTTGGTAGACAGTGAACATCATATCAAAATAGAGGAAGCTTTCTCTATTTTATATCAAGTTCCAAAATATCTGCCTCAAGGAGCTAGATTACGACTGCTTTACATAGCCGAAGCCATCTGGATCAACTCTAGAAGACCTAATTTATGTATGCAGAAAAAATATATCCAGCCTCTATGTTTACCTTGGCCTACGACTGGATCACCGAGTACCTAGTCTGAATATTTTAAACCTCTTACCCCCTTCCTTTAATTTTATTTATTTTCCTTATTATCATTATTTTTGATTACTTCTACCTTAATCTTCACATCCATCATTCCCAATTCGTTGTTCGTAATTACCTTGATAACACCCACCTTATTACATATTATATTAAAAGACTAGTATTTGAACGAAGAATATTCTTTTCGATAAATTCTCTTCAGGTTCTACAATTATATATCCAAATTAATAATCCGAAAAATGGCCAGTTTAAGGGTAAAGTACATAGTTTAAAGCATGTGAATTTAGGATTGTGGTAAATAAAATACAATAAAATTGTGCATGTTGTTATGACTCATAAAGAATGTTAACTTGAATCTGAGTTTATGTTCAGTGAGATTTTAAGATCTATGATCAGAATAAATATGGGTCAAGTAGGGTGAGAAAAATAATAGTGCAATTACCATTCGATCAAATAGGTAAGACGTAATAAGGAGGGAAGAATCATGTATAGGGGAGATTAATAATGAATACGAAAAATAATAATAACAATAATAATAATAATACAATGATTTATGAATAAAGATAACTGAGAAAATTACAATTGACTACGAAAGGTCATAGTCAAATTACGTCATTCAATAGTTAAGATTACGATTGATTAATTGGCCTTGATGTTGGCCATATTATATTCACACAACACTATTATTAATATTATCTCAATTGACAAGATTAAATTCTCCTACTATGCATTTTATTCACACAAAATTTTTTTGCTATAATACTATTATATTTATTGTGACTGAACACTTTACTCCAAATTATCCTGACCTTTATTGAATGACCTTTCTAATTTGCAAATAATACAATTTCGAAGTATATATATATATATATATATATATATATATATATATATATATATATCGTAACAGATGCAAACGCTCACCATTTTTAACACACAACATTGTCAAATTTCATTAATACATGCCTTATTTTTGGCCTTTGTAAAATATTATAATTATGGACTTATAATTGTAGAGCCTGATGATGAAGTTATTGAAAACAACTGTTCGCTCACATATTATTCATTTTTGATTATTTTACATTAAATAAGTTATACAGAGTTAATTGTCAAGCCATTTTTTCGTACTTTTACAAACATATAGGCATTTTGTCCGCTCCATGGACAGATACGGTAACAAAAAGTGGACGAAATTTCTCAGGATGGTTGAATTTCACGTACCAACCAAACTGAGTCTATAAGTACAATGTTCAACGCGCTCAGCTACATTACTCCCTATAATCAAATCTGTCAGTGACATTAGCTTATTAGTTCTAAAGCAACAGTGTGAACTTTGAAGAGAGAAGAAAAGCATTGCAAACATTTTAGCATTAGTGTTCAAAAGACTGAATTCTATCATTGGTATATTGTAGGTGAATGAGAAGGTCCAAGGCTAGTAGGCCGCCCTTTGAAAAGTGTCACCAGTAGAAAGAAACGTATCTATGATGAAATTAAATAAAAAGCAAAATAATAGAAGTATCGAAAGTGTTCAACAATACTTCTTTAAAAGTCGGTTAAATTTCCCAAAAAAAAAACATACTATTTGAAAAGATTTACCTGATAAAGAATTAAAAGCAACGGCATACTTTACAGGTGGATCACATTTTAATCCACTTAATATAGGTCTAGATGGATTAGAATCCGTAAGTGCAGGTGGCCGTGGTAACTGAGTTAAATCTATTGGTAAGCCAGCTTCAGCAGCTTGTATCATTTGATTCATTCCAAGAACTGATCGTATGTACGTTTTAGCCAATTCAATATTACCAGACTGTTTTGCAGCTTTAGCGGCTTGTTTCAACTCATCTTGGCGTTTAGTTAATAGTTCAACAATTGCTTCCGTTTTATTTTTTATTGGATGTCCAGAGCTAGGTTTTGCAAGAGTTGTTTTTGGATCATTGCTAGATAGTTTTACATTTTTACTTAATTTAGAACGATCAGTAAGTGGAGGATAACCTGGAGGTGGGACCAACTCTTCAAATTCAAACGAAGTAACTCCATGTTCACAAGCTCTCAGTCCTTCATCATACCGTGTGAGAATACGATTGTAACGACGTTTCTTTGAGTCATCGTTGGTTATTTCCTTTAATTTTTCCTTTGACAAATAGACAGTAAGATTAGGTGAGAAAAAATCTACATAACACAGTTTACCACGATTTCGTATTACGTAATAATAAGATAATTTGAGCTAATTGATAGTTGCTATTTAGCGGATTTCTTTATAGTTTATAGCGAAATAACTTCAAAGCTCTTAGCTACCATCCATCTCTGTTTAAAAATACTTGTGATCTAACGGCAATATCGATGCAATCCACAGAGGATGTACCACGTCACAAGAGATTGATCAACTGCAGTTTTAAATGTTAATGAGAAGATCCAAATAACCAAAAACATGTGAATTGAAATCCACCCCATCACATAAGCTAGTGATTATCTGGACTCAATAATGGACTGGATACAGTATTGAATTTTCACTCAGGAGTGAACATCAACCCGGAGATGCAGGTATATCCAGCCGATGGGTCCCAAAGAGGACGAAACGCGCGTCCTGTATTTCACTGCTAATCACAAACCATCTATGTTCAAAGCTGTGTCTGTTATTTAGTTACTTTCCTATTGCTAACCGATTGACTATTTGCATTATTCGATCGAGTAAACCAATCAAGCACAGAGATGCAACAACATACACTTTTGTAAGTAATGATAGTGATTGTATTTCAAAGGAAGATCGACGTTTCAATAGAATTCCAATCAATGATTTTTCTCACCATTATATGAAATCCTATTAAACTGGCAATAATCATTACCAATTGTTTTGGTTAACTGTAACGTGAATAATAAATACGTAGTCACTTGACTTCATCAAATTGGTTATTGAATTACATTTTCTTGTCTTAATTAGGATCGAGGTCAATAAGATATTAGATTGACTACTAGTTAAATTATACATTATATGATAATCTTACAACTTCAATTGAATTGATCATTAATAACATAATAATAAGATTTAATATTGATGATATACATCAGTGAACTTATATGTAAAAACGATATTTTGCAACATACTTTATAGTAGGTTATACGAGCTAAGATGTTTTCTGTGCAAACAATAGATGTTTTCATAATATCTGGTACAGTCGATTTTACAGGCTGAGATGAAGGTGGTGGCTGAGCAATCACAGTTTCATTGTTTGGATCCCCCTCATTAGAGAATTCATACTCCGATGGCGGAGGAGGTAAGTCTGTCTCTGGATCGAATGTTTCTTTGCCAGCTTCTATATTCACGATAGCTTCTCCAATACACTTTGATGCTTCCAATAATTCTTTTGCTTTCCCTAGTTGGCCTGTATCACGAGCTTTCAAAGCAGCTAACTTATGTACATAATAACAACAGTATATATGAAAATTGCCCACATATCAAATAAACAAACAAAAAAAATACTTATCCTTTGAAGACAAAAAGCAAAGTGAGTAAGAAATTAAACAGGGTAATAATATCGTGAAAGCCATCGCACACAATCCATTTTACCACCATTTTTATTTCAAACAATAGGGTTAGGACACTGAGGAAGTCTTCCAATTTTTCTCATTCCTCTTCGATCTTACAATTGACTAAATTCTGAAAGTACTAAAGAGAATGAGTAGTGTTGATGTCATAGAACTTATACTTGAAGAAACAAAACTAGTCTTTGCAACTTTACGATATTCGGTCATGAGCGGGCCTCTGAACGTCAGCTACCACTCTCTAACAACACTGAGTCATGAAGATCGACAGTGCGTGTTCGGGCACAGTACATATTATCATTTTTGACTGTTAATACAATCTCGAAACACTGGCTTTGGTGACGTAAAAGCATACTGTATGTCATTAAAGTCAAAACTGTACGTTAAGTATGATCAAAATATTTTGATCGTTGTAAAGAAATATGTCTACTTTGACACCGTATATTTTTCTACAAATATGAATCAATTTCCATAAACTATTCATAATTCTTTGATAAATTGTCAAATTAAACGTCTGAAAAGATTTTTAACTAACAGTTATTTCATAGATCGCATTATAAAAATTGAGAAAGTAGCTAACATGAATCAAGCTTGTTTGATACTCATTATTACATGTGTACAGCTGGTTATGCAAAAATACATAATAAGAGAATGAGTACAACACTCCGGATCTTCTTACAAAAACGAAACATGAGAACAGACGACGATGAGATAATTTTGAAAAACCAAGCTCTTAAAACAATCTCAAGTATATAAAAATTTATCTCTAACTATCTAGAATATCATGTTTACACAAAGCACACTATATTTTGGTCCCATAAATGAATGTGACCTGAATTTCACAGAAAACGGATGAGCCTCGTTAAATACAAGTAAACCCACACCATTCTTAACATACCAATATTTAATTTAATTATTGATCCGTTGTATCATGCAGTCCTACTAGTATTATATAAACGTTTAATTTCTTCTGAAACAAATAACACGAAATGCTACATAGGTACGTACTGTGTCTAGAGTTAATTAGTTAGAAAAAATAGGTATTTTGACTAAAATACCAACCACTAAAGTATTAGTAAAATTTTCACCAATCTAACGATAGAACTCACAGAACAGAATTAGTACAGATAAGTTCCTAAACAAAGCCATGAATTACATCTACTGAGTCAAATAAAAAAGATTATCCAGCAGTATTAGATAAAATACGATTCAAAACTGTGATCAAATGGTTAAAAGAGAAGTTGGAAGACCTAAAAATACACGGCACAAATCAGAACATGGAGCCTGAAATAATTGGTTATATAATGAATATATTAAAATGCGATATAGTGTAGAGAGTTCATGAAGGTGTTCGGATTGCAAGGTTTACATCACGAAGGGATATCGGTTGAACCATAGGTAAAAACCTGGAAGCGCCGAAATGTTGTTTTGTACGAGTATGGGACTCCCCAAAATTACACACCCACAACTCCTCCAAGGTTCGAATATGGGATCCTCATGTCCCGCGGCGAGGGCTTAAATTTCAGACTGGTAGGTTTGCACCTAATAATTTGCATTTCTAACTTCAATCGATTCATAATGCTGAGCAACCAAGATCAGTCTGTAGTGTAAACTATGAAAATCAATTAAACAAATCAAATCATATGCGAATAGCTATCATCTATAAAACAATGGTTTGAAAAAGGGAAGAAAACGTATCCCGTTAATCTACATTTTACAACCTGAAATACACACGATTAGTGATATGATAGAAGCACCATGACGTAATACCTGAGTTTTTAAATGTTTACATTAGGTTTATATGTATTATAATCTGCTTATTCTGAGAATAAATATAAAAAAATTGTTTTTTCACCATAGATTTTAAAAGGATGATTAAATGATAGATAATTCATTATATTTTTTTTACAAAATGCATCTACCTAGGACGTAAATATAATTTATTTCGATAAACCAATACTTAAAGTTTACAAACAGCAAATAAAAATCCCGTAATTTTACAGAATTTATCTTAACATCATGGTTTATGATTGACTAATTAATGAATAGTGACCAGTGTTACGTTTTTCTAGTCGTTTTTAGTCTTGATCGAATCCTATCAATCAAGTTGCAATGTGACCACTAGTATGAGTGACTCAACACTGTGGATCACATTGAAATGTTAAGCTGTTACCTACATTTAAACACCTGACATAAACTCACACTTAACAGGAATTATTGTTGTTGAGTTATTAGCTTAATGTACTGATTTCTAGCATTCACAAACTCATGATAAGCTGAAAGATTTCACCATTAATTTTGTGCGCCTTATTTACATGAGTTACTCAAGATATTTCTACGATTCTGAAAAAATCTACATTATATGAAAAGTTTGAAGTTGAGTCTATTATTTTATGAATTTCACTAATCAATAGAAATATGGAATGTTGGACTTTAAGACAACTTTAGAAAAGCAATCAGATTAGATACAAGCGTTCAAGAGAGCTTCTTTGAAAAGATGGAAAAACAGATACAAGATAAACTAATACAAGAAACTCCACTGATCAGGAACACAACATACCAGTGACAAACAAATTAAAATATCATTATATTTTCTCTTAGATTCTTGGTTACACGGGCTTGATTTATTTATTTCCATACTATGATTTGCATGAATCATTTATGTTTGCATACTTGAAGGGTATTGTTTAAAAAATAGTTAAAACTGGATTACACCATCGTCATTCCTATACAACACAAAAGTATATACCCATAATTTAACTTTTTCCAGTTATCAGAAATAGAGCTCCCCAAATGCCCTGGTATGGCCGAGAGCGGGGAGGGTTCGCCCTCCCTCTCGAAATACTCTCACACGGCCACGCGTATACAGCCTCTACCAGGGAAGTCCTACCCACTACCTTCTCGTCGCGGGGGTGTTGTTTACGAAAATGAGAGGACGAAAAGAGAACGTCCGGTGCTATAACCGGATCCCAATTCTATGGTGCACATGGGCTCCAGTATCCTGAAGGAACAAATGGCGTATGAACCAACTTTTGGTCACCGGCTTCCATTGGACTGCATCTCCTCACGATGCTCCACTGCCTTGTGGACTAGACCTTTAGGTCAAAGGCTCGGGGTGTGGCCCCCTAAGAAAACCACCTGCTTCGGTTTGGGCACCCGGGCAGTATCTCAGCCCACACACTAAAACCATGATGAACTATCTGCTTATGGAAAATATTCGTTTCTCTCCGACTAACATTGAAATGACTGGTACTATTATTATTATTATTATTATTTACTACGTCATTTATTCACTATATCCTATTTCTACTTTTTGTATCCGTTTCGACTCAGACAGCAGCTCGCCTATGGTAAAAATTCAGCTTTATCTAAACGTTCTCGAGTCACTGCCTGGTTGAAAATTGTATGTTGCCACCGAATACGAGTACTGAAGCAGGTTTTCTGAGACCACGAGCACCATTCAAACTGGCTGCCTTCAACGTTCGCACACTTATGCAGGTCGGACAACAGATAGGGCTGGCTATGTCTTTGGAAAGTCTTAATATTGATGTGTGTTGTCTATCCGAGACCCGTATTCAAGACTCTGGTGAAGTACTACAAGTACGCTCTCCATCTGTCGCTTCAAAAAGCTTGTTTTATGTGCGTTTATCCGGGGACCCTGTGGCATCTTCGTCTGGTCTTGCTGGCGTTGGTGTCGCACTAAGCGCTAGAGCTGAGGCAGCACTAGTTGACTGGATCCCCATTAACAGTCGGTTATGCGCTGTTAGATTGGTAAGTTCCATCAAAGTGAGAAGAAATCGGCGTGAGAAACGATGTATCTTCGTCATCTCCGCCTATGCCCCGACAGATTGCAGCCCGGATGCAATCAAGGACGAATTCTACCACCAGCTAACTGTTCTTCTCCAGAAAGTGCGTTCGACAGATATTGTAGTACTAGCTGGAGACTTGAATGCTCAGGTCGGGCGTCTAGGCACAGAAGAGAGTCGTTTAGGTGGCCGATGGGGACTCGTTGGTCGCAGGACAGATAACGGGGAACGTCTACTGCAACTATGCACAGACCACAACCTGTTTCTGGCTAGCACTAACTTTCGGCACAGTCATCGCCGATGTGCCACCTGACGTCCCCCTTCTGCATTTCAAGCCTGGACTCAGATTGATCACATCGCGATCAGCTACCGCTGGCGCGGTTGTGTACAAGACTGCCGCTCCTTTTGGAGTACCTATCTGGAATCTGATCATGCTCTGGTCTACGCCAATCTTACTTTACTTTTCAGTGGCCAACGAAGTGACCGCCACCAAAGGATTGATGTTAGAAAGCTGGCTGCAACATATGTTGCTAGTAAGTACCGAACCGAGCTAGCTTCTAGGCTAGCTACCATTCCACCGAAAAGTATAGATGAGCATTGGTTGCAATTGCATGACGCCATGAAAATGGCGGGTCAAGTCTGTTGTGGGTCTGCGAAACGTCCCGCTTACAAGCACTGGGTTTCTTCTGGTTCCTTACAACTGATTGAAGCCCGTCGGTCTACTCCGGGTGACCGTGAGTCTGACCACAGACGAAGGATGTTACGTAATGAAATCGGGCAAAGCTTGCGTAAGGACCGAGAAGCCTGGTGGTCGGAGCTTGCTAATGAGCTGGAAGCAGCAGCTGCATCTGGTAATTACCGGAAGCTCTTCCAACTCATCCGAGCCACTGGCAGCAAGAAGTTTGGTGTGAGCGAAACAATCTGCGAGGATGACGGAACGCCAATCACTAACATCCATCGACGTCTTGGACGATGGGCAGAATTCTTTGAAGGGCAGTTCAACTGGCCTGCTGCTCCGGCAACATCGGTCAGACTGTCCTGCCCTCCATGGCCGGTGACGACTGATCCACCAAATGAGGCAGAAGTCCGCAAGGAACTCCAACTCTTGAAACGTTACAAATCACCGGGCCCAGATGACTTACCTCCGGCTCTTTTTAAAGATGGTGGTGACTTTCTGACTAAGGGACTGACGACGTTGTTTACAAAGATCTGGGAACTAGAGAGTGTACCAACGTCATGGAATGAGTCGATAGTTGTCCCTATCTTTAAAAAGGGTTCACGTTGTTCCTGTAACAACTATCGGGGGATAAGTCTAATTCCGATTGCGTCCAAGCTATTGGCTTCCGTCATACTTCGTAGGTTGTTCAAAACCCGAGAAGGATTGACTCGCGAGGAGCAGGCTGGGTTTCGTTCTAGTCGAGGATGTATTGATCATATCTTCACCCTCCGCCAAGTGTTAGAACACCGCCATACTTATCAAAGGCCAACAATCGTAGTGTTTCTTGACATCAGGGCTGCCTTCGATTCGTTGGACAGAACTGTTCTCTGGGATTGTCTATTGAAGAAGGGTGTGCCTGAGAAGTTTATTAACATCCTAAAAGCTTTATACACAAACACCTCAGGCAGAGTGAGGGCATACAACCACCTTTCTCCACTATTCCATTCGAGCAGTGGGGTTAGGCAGGGTTGCCCAATCTCACCATTCCTCTTCAACTTTGCCATCGATGACATTCTGGAAACAGCTCTGACGGATGTAAGTAATGGTGGTGTGGATCTGTTGCCTGGAGAAAGACTTCTCGACCTTGAGTATGCGGATGATATTGTCTTACTGTGCGAGAATGTTCAAGCCATGCAATCCGCACTTAATCAGTTGGCAATCAGTGTCCGTAGGTATGGTATGTGCTTTGCACCTTCGAAGTGCAAAGTACTTCTACAAGACTGGCAGGATTATAATCCTGTACTCACTCTGGATGGTGAGCAGATTGAAGTAGTCGAGAAGTTCGTGTATCTAGGTAGTTGCATAAGTGCTGGTGGTGGTGGCGTAAGTGATGAGATCAATGCACGTATAGTGAAAGCCAGAGCGGCTTTTGCCAATCTGGGCCATCATTGGCGCCTTCGTGATGTTAGTCTGCCTGTAAAAGGTCGGATCTACAACGCGACGGTGAGAGCAGTTTTGCTCTATGCTTGTGAAACCTGGCCTCTCCGAGTTGAGGATGTTAGACGACTCTCTGTGTTCGATCATCGTTGTCTCCGAAGGATTGCTGGCATCCAGTGGCAACACCATGTCAGTAATGCAGAGGTTCGGCATCGACTGTTCGGTCACAGAGACGATAATGAAATTGGTGTCACCATCTTGAAACACCGACTTCGGTGGCTTGGACATGTTCTACGAATGTCGTCCCAGAGAATTCCACGTCGTGCATTATTTGCCGACTCTGGGACCGGTTGGAAAAAGCGGAGAGGTGGTCAGTATATGACATGGTGTCGTGGTATGAAAGAAAGCTGCAAAGGGCTAGCTTCTGTTGGTCCTTCACCACTCCCTGGTTGGGGTCCGAGAGACGGTGTAACGCAGTGACTAGAGACGTTATCAGATATGGCTCAGAATAGAAGCCAGTGGCGAACCTGCTGTAACCTTCTTTTACTTTCTTCACAAAAAGTGGTTGTATCTTCCTTAACTGAAAGATCTCTTCTGATTGTATCTTTCCGTTTCCCCCACCATTGTTCTCTCTCTCTCTTTTTTTTTATAATTCCCCACGTTCATTACTTCTTTTTTTCTTTTCTCCTTCTCTTCAAATTATCATTGTTTTGTGTGGCGCATATATATTTGGTTCCCCCCTGTACCAATATTTATGTGTTCAAAAATAATAATAATAATAATAATAATAATAATAATAATAATAATAGTGTACATCCAGAGTAGAAATAAACCAAACAATTGATGTAATAGAAATGTGTATAACAAAGTGAAGCAGCAGTCATAGTATAAACTATTTTATAAATTTACTTTGTTCTACTTGGAAATCGATATAATTGAAATAGACTTCAAACTAACATTTACTATTGTATAAACGTAATCACTATTGACAATAATTACTGCACGACCTGACCACTTAATTGAATAGGAAATCTTCAAGGCAAAGTAATCCCACAGAAATCTAGTATACTTCAAGGATGATAAATGGATGGTGTTCAAAAAGAAAAGGGAAACTCACTTTGTATTCTTTATGACGATTTTTCAATAAATCTAAACCAGAATTAGAAGTCTTTGGATTGATATAATCCAATACAGCTTGACGAACATTAGGTTTTACATTAGCGGCAGTCGGTTTTGAAGTACTTCCTGAACTATTTCCCAAAGCATTATAATTTGAAGGTACCTTTGTCGGTTGTTAATTAAATATTTTTTTAATTTTAAATAATAATAAAATGTAATTTCAATCACAAATTAATAACCAGTTGTGGAACTATTAAAAGCTTAGAAGCATTAAAAAACTTGTTTTTAGAATATATGGATCGTAATGAGCAGTGGAATTCGGGACGAGAATTCCTCCTCATTTGAGACTCATCCATAGCATAAATCTGGTCCCAAAGTACGAGTCTCAAACAGGACATGACGCAAGACCTGAACCCCACTTCTAACCACAGTCTAACTATTTTAAAAACTTGCAGTATGTAATATGCTCAGGGTCCACATATGCCAACTGAAAGTGATCGGGATTCAGTCCTGAATATCAATAATAGGATAATTCAGACCCTATCTAGTATTAACGTAATCGGCAGCTTTCTTCTTAGTTTAAGATTTCCCAATACTAAGCGAACATCATAACCCCCTACTCACGTAATCGAAACCAGGACCTTTTAGATATTTCATGGACAGAATTTATGTAAATTAATCACTACTTTACTAGTTAAAAATCTTGTGCAGAAACCAATGATACTATCTAGTTTCGTAATAAGCAAAAGTAATTAAAGTAAGTTTCAATTTATAACTATTCATTGGTTAAAGTAGTCGAAAAACAATGATTTAAAGCATCATGAGTTTGTGTAATAATTACCATTATTTTTAACGATTTATAAAAACTTTATTCTCATACCAGTTTTTGTTCTGCACATGTTAGAACCACTACAACTGGTCTTTCACAGAACAGGTCTCGAAACAGACCTGCAAGAACTAACGTCTTCTGGGTTGCATAATTCGTAACCTCTATAGTAACGAGTCACGTGCTTTGATGTATAAAGTATTTGTTCGGCCATTTCCAGAATGTTCTAAATCTTATCATCATGTGAATTACTGTACCAGAAAACTTTCCAGACTCTGGTATAATTTGCCCCCAAACGCCCTGGTACGGCCGAGAGTGGGGAGAGTCCGCTCTCCCTCTCGAAATGCTTTCACATGGCCACGAGTATACAGCCTCTACCAGGGAAGTCCTACCCACTACCTTCTCGTCGCGGGGGTGTTGTTTACGAAAATGAGAGGACGAAAAGAGAACGTCCGGCGCTATAACCGGATCCCAATTCTATGGTGCACGTGGGCTCCAGTATCCTGAAGGAACAAATGGCGTATGAACCAATCGTTGGTCACCGGCTACCATGGGACTGCATCTCCTTACGATGCTCCACTGTCTTGTGGATCAGATCTTTAGGTCGAAGGCTCGGGGTGTGGCTCCTAAGAAAACCACCTGCTTCGGTTTGGGCACGCGGGCAGTATCACAGCCCTCACACAAATCAATTGAGATTCGTGTGGCACATATGTAATTGGTGCCTCCTTGTACCAATTTCTATGTGTTAAAATAAATAAATAATTTGCCACAATCTATCGGTGAAATAAAATCACTCCCATCTGCAAGTATATTCCATTTCACAAGTGAGATTATGAGAACCTTGAAAGTTTAATCGTTTTTATTATTGAGGTCACTAGTTATATATATATATATATATATATATATATATATATATATATATATATATATATATATATATATATATATATATATATATATATATATATATATATATATCCTGAAGTATGATAACAACCTTTGGACTTGTCGTTGAGCCACAGTCGGATGTATTACTGGTACTTATTTTATGATCACCAAAAATACCTCCTTCGTTGAATTCTAATTCATCCATCTTATTAGCTCTATTCGATACAGGTGATTTCCCACTTTCCATTGATTTTACTAGTTCGGCAAGTAACAATTCATCGTCCTTATCACAATTTGTTCCGTTCTACCAAAGAACAAGAAGTACATAAAAACAAAATATTAGATTTTCATAAATTCTGAACATTTTATCGCCAAGTCATCTGTTATGATATGACAGCTTTATGTTATTTACCTACAGCGAACACAGAAACAAGCGCATTCTGACCTGGAATAAAGCCCGACGTTCATGTGTCACTTTGATCCTACTAATTACTTCGTACTAATTCAAGTAATTAAGGACGAACTTCTATCCACATACATTTTAATATACGTGTGAATCGATTTGTGCTTGTTTGTCTATTCAGTCCATATAAACCGATTAAACAATTCACGCACTGACTAACTGTCAAGTCATCTTACATACCACACGATAATCCCCTCACCTACTCTTCCTTGATAGCGGTCTGATCGCCTGAGCTGCATATCTGAAGTAGAATATTTCTAACCACTTTGTATTTTGACTTTTTTGCTCCTATACCGTTGGTAAAAGCTGAAGTGACGGTGTTCCAGTCAACTGATTAGACGAAGCTAACCGGAATGATAATGTAGCCACCAATACCGTTATTCAGTCTATTTTAAAATAGTTATGGAAATTGTTACCGTCATATGCTTCGCATTACCAATATCTTTTTAATAAGTTCCCCATCCCAAACAATTTACGCAACATACATTTTTAAACAATGTACGCTTCTTTTTATATGTTGGGTCCATATTATACCATCCTAATTAACCTTGTAAATTAGTGCGTATTTTGCAGTTTTTGGAATATATATTTAATTGAAATATTTGCTTTCCAAAATAAGTATCGGTGACATTACTGTAGATTCCATCAACATCGACTCATAAGTATTGCTTATATTTGATGGAAATTGCATTTATTTGGTATTGTAGACCGTCGAAGTGGACTTTTACAGAATAGGTAGGTCTTCAGAGTGAATTCTCATAAATCAGTTCACGATGAACAATGAACAACGAGAGGGTTTCCTTCTTAAGGTCAATCGATTCAGGATTACAAGACTTATTAGGTCTATAGAAGTATCCTTATAAAGGTACAGCGATTTCAAATAGATATAATTATGACCTTCTGATATGGTGAACAAGAACTGAATCTGGTAATCACATCTCGACCTCAATCTTGAATGAGTGACCTATAAATTTTATATCATTCTATCACTAATGTGTTAAATGAAGTTCAGTCGTTATTTCCGTGGTATGTTGTATACACCAATGTCTGAATGCGATTTAAAGAATTATTTGACTTATGAATTTTAAGTATAACCGAGTATGGTTCGACAACAGCATTATATTTTTGATGAGACATAAGACACACGACAGAGAAATTTACGAAAACATTGTGAACGTTTCTTCGATGATACCCTTGTCTTCCTCTGAATTTAAATCCTAATAATATGACGCTATTGTATTTTGTATATTCACACAAAGCAACAAACTAAAGCATGATAACTACCTTTGAATTCGTTGTCAGACCACTGTTTCTTGAAGAACTCAGCAATGACGATCCTAAATTACATTCTTCGAACCCCGGTGTTTGATGAGGCAGCTTGGAAGTACTACCAGTACTTGCCTTGTGATTGCCAAAAATATCTTCTTCATTGATTTCTAATTCATCCATCTTATTAGCTCTATTCGATACAGGTGATTTCCCACTTTCCATTGATTTTACTAGTTCGGCAAGTAACAATTCATCGTCTTTATCACAGTTTTTTCCATCCTATAAAAGCAAAAGAAGTGCATTAAACGTGTAATTCTATACGTAAAATAAGTGACATCATATTGTTTAAACATTTTTCAGGCTATTACAGGTAGTTGTAAGAGAAAAATAAGTTGAACCCTTTGAATAAAGATACAAGCGTAGGTTTTCTTGATGTTCTATTGATTTACAGACTTGCAGTCAAGTAAACAGAACTATAGTAACTGTCAGTCAGTTACAACGTAGGACCAGGCACATATATACATCGGTCCAAGTTGCCACACCTTATTAGCACAGCAAGATGAACACCGGATCCATAGAAGCAGTTAACTCAATGGTGTAATACATAAAAGAAAGATTTTATGTAAGGATATAGTACAGAAAGAAAGATATGAAGCGATTTTAATCTCATAGCTTAAAGGAAGATAGAGAGCGTATACACCTACACCATTGTGATCGATTACGAGCCGTGTCACCAAGTCTCCAACCATTGGTTACGATAGTCACGCGGATCCCAACCAAGTAGTCTGTATCTACCAACATGGCTCAGACTAGAAGTTAGTGACTTCAGGGACTGATTCCACGTTTTGGTTTGACAGCCCCTAAATTCCTTCCAACTATCCCCAACACTAGTCAGCATTGCACGTCGTGGTAATCGGTGTTCAGGCTTTGTTTTAAAAGGGAGTAAAATGCAATCAACACTATCAAGCTTATAAATTTTCTTACTCCTACCAACTTCAGACAACAGTAATTTTAAATAGCTCGGAGCAATGAACAACTGTGGAAACCGGAAACCGTTTCAGGATTTACACTGGCTACTACCATCTTCAATTTTATGATCAACATACTTTCAGTGTGATGATACACGGGATGTTATGCGAAAACAATACAACAGTAACTTAGATGTGCTCAGATCACTAAATTCTACCTATTGATTTACAAAATCAAAGCGAGCTACACACTTGAATTCAACCAGTGAGTATCATCTTTTACCCCTACACAGTGTTTGTGAATTACAGATGACAACAAATACATGTTTAGGCTAAAAAGTTGTACTAGATCATTTCTAAGATTCGAAATTATAAGAATATTCATCTAATATTCAAGTAAGGAATGTTCTTATAAATGTTTTTCAAGTTATTGTACAAAATATGAAGGATAGATATAACAACCATATCTGACGTCTCATGATATTAGGTCTAACAATCATTCACAAAGGACTATAGGGATTGTGCTGAATCAATAAGTACCAAAAAAAGTACTTCAGTCAGTCATAAAGTAGAACCTGGCACATAGTTCGATTTATAAAATGATCACAAAATTTAGTAAATAACTATCGCCTAGTTAATCTTATAAATATTCAGTCAGTTAGTCAATCAGTCGCAATGTAAAACCTAGTACGTATGCACATGGGTTCATTTTACCATACCGCATTTCTACAAACCGATGAAGTTATTAGGTCAAATCCATGAACAGTACAGGTAGTAACAGCGTCAGTTGTAACGGGAAAAATTAAGCATCGAAGACACGACTGGAGAAAATACGAATTAGTGAAATAGAAGAAATGTTATGCGGGATTTAGAATCTCAGAATTCCGGAGAGGACAAATAGTGGATTTACGTTCCCGATTGCATACGACTTTCGGCCATGTCATACAAAGTCTCTAATCATTGGTTACTGTAATCAAGCAGACGCCGACCAAGTAGTCTACATCTATTAACACGGCTTAGTCCAACTGTAAACGCCTTTATAGACTGATGCCATGTTTTGGTTTGGCCGCCCCTAGCTTTTTTAAACCTACTCCCACACCATATAACATCCCCCGCTGAGGTAGACGGTGGTTAGTCATACGTAAAACATGTCCGAACCACCTCAGTTGATGATTTACTACCTCACCAATCGATTTTCATCTTTACCTAGTGTTCTACTGCTAACCCAGACACTACTTACTCAGTGGTCCCAAAATACACAAGCAGACACCTATGATAGAATACCAGTAGCCTATGAATATTTTCTACTCTTAATGGACATGCTGCACAATCATAAAGTAGAACGGAACAAACTACTTCACAGTAAACTCGTCCTTCGGTTGGCAGATGGATATCCCGCCTACGCCATAAGTGATGCAAGTTATTGAAAGCCGATTGAGCCTTCCGAATCCGTGCAGACTTCATCAGACACCAGATCATCAATACTGATGAGACTCACAACATAAGTAAAGCAGTCTATGCATTCAACTGCTTCACTCTCCATCATTAATTCAGGCGATGACTCAAGCCAATCCTGAAGTAACATTTTACATTTGGATGGAGAGAACCGCATCCTAAACATGATTACATTGTTGCTTAAGGTGAACAGAAGAGTGCATTTCGTCAGAATCTTCGCCAAACAAAACTATATTATCTGCGTATTCCAATTCAACGAGTAAATCTCTTGGCAGATCAATCCCTGAAAAGTACCTAATGCCTTTTCATTTTGTTTTGACTGCATACAATGACCATCTTTTTTCTCCCAAGGTCGAAAGTTGAATCCTTTGATCCTCGGGCTGAGGAACATAACTTCTACAATCTTGTCTGCTTTAATCCACCCAAAAAATATCTTGATTCACTTATGAACACATAATGATGTAGTTTACTACATACACAAAGACAAGAATTTTTGAATAGACTATTTATGTTATTATATTTAACATCATGATAAGGAAAGACAAGAAAGCTAACTTTCAGAGTCAGTCACCTTAGGCCTGAATCATGTAGGGAAGTTGGGGGGATCCCGCCAGATAATTGTAATTAACGGTTAAATACTAATTTTTGGCTCAAAATATATCGCACTAGCGAAAATGCATTCAACTTTAATAATCACAAACATTATTATCTTATTGTGTGAATTCTACTCCCTCTCATCAACTACATTATTCAACTACTGTTGGCAGCATTACGTTAGCCGCTTGTTTCAGCTATCTTAGTCCTGTGTTGGATGGGGACATTTATGCGACGTTTTGTTATATATTTATCTTCATGGTCAACTTATAACTTCCCAAGAGGAGGCGTTTACTGAAAAGAATTTCGAAAAGAAACTAAAATTATAATAAAAGATATATATGATGACATAACATTCCTGAGTCTATAAAATCAATTGCTTCAGAGACTAGAGAGAAAATAAGACAATTTACACATGGTAAAAGTGAAGCTTTTGTTTGCCTAAACTCTGAATAATTATCTCGACATAAGATCATCAAAATCCAGATGCTAAAATGCCTACAAGCATGAACATAATGACAGTAAAAAATAGTTAGCACTACGAATTAAGAGGAGTCAAGCATCGGATCCCTAGCCTGGTGCGACACAGTTAAGAATCTTGAGTTGTAACTTAGTACTCAAGGTCCATATATAAACCTAATCAGTTTCGAGCATATGGTGTTTCGAATGAAGTCAACATCCTAATGATCATAAAACTATCGGTACTTTTTTCCTTAGCATAACTAGATCCCTCATACGTTCTAAAAGTGGTAACAACTGAAGGCGGAAGAGAATTTCAAAATACACTCCTTGATAAAGACAATTCATTCGCTGAACTTCGAGCGATCAAACCAGTTGTGTTGTATATAATCTTTGATCACGGTTAGACACTAATAATACTTACCTGATCCAAAGACGATGATTTATTAGAAATCTCAAGGGTTGGATCATCATTCAATAAGTCAAGTAATTCCTGTTCAAGATCTTCACTACTGAAGTCGATATCACCAATATTGTCAGGATTGAAAGTAGTGTCCTTTGCCTCAAGTTTCTTAGACGTCCACTGCATTACGAAATATGGATTCAAAGAAATTTTTGCCAATTATAAGCAATCTGATTTAACTTATTGTTGAAGGATAGAATGTAAATCACAAAATTTTTATTGGTTGTTTAACATGTGAAGAATATGGAAGTAGCACGGTTTCAGTTTAAAGTAATGATCTACATAACAAATAGGAAAAAAATCTTTAAACACTTCATTTTCAGTAATAAGCATCAACCAGTCACAATACCAAGCAAGTAATGTCTTTTACTTCAAGATCCCTTGTAAATTCGGCATCACGTTCAAAGTACTTTTAGACAAATATAAAAATTATAGAGAAACGGTAACCGTGACGTAGCTCTAACATTCGCGTTACATCGCACAACTCAGTAAAACCTTAGTAACTTAAGTATTTCGGCAATTTGTTGACTGAGGAAAGATAATAATGATATTCAATAAACATGACAATAAACAGAGATTATATTGTGCACAGGATAACGAAGCAACAAAGCTAATGAGACGTGATGAACTCAAATAATCAAATTAAGATTACCTGTTTTTGCCATAGCATGTCTCACCAACGCCGGTAAGGTAGTTTACGATTCATAACAAATTAATTACGAGTTTGTGTTCCGCTAATCCAACTCCGCCTGAAGTCCCTTTCCGGGGGCTACTGCCGGTCCCAAGCCCGGATAAAGGAGGAGGGTTGGGCATGAGGTTAGCGACCCCATCCCGTAGAAAACTAACTCGCTAAAAAAACGCTAACCAGAAAAAATTATTCAAACCATTTAAACTCTGCCCTGGGAGTCAGGAGGTCTTCGTTTAGAAGAATTATGACGCCTCATGATGAAAGCCGAGTTTCTTCGGAAGTCACGAGGCCGATGCCCTTTCTGACAACCAGAGCAACCATTTATTTGGGTACATGGAATGCTCACACAATGTGGGAGACTGGGAGAGTTTTCCAAATTGCTGCAGAAATGAGGAGATACAATTTAGAGGTGCTTGGGATCAGTGAAACACATTGGACACAAGTTGGACAACAACGACTAGCTTCAGTGGAGCTGCTGTTATACTCCGGACATGAACAAGAAAATGCTCCACATACACAAGGAGTTGCATTGATGCTGTCCAAACAAGCACAAAATGCACTTATAGAATGGAAATCTCATGGACCAAGGATCATCAAAGCCTCCTTCAAAACAAAGAAAACGGGGATTACAATGAACGTCATCCAATGCTACGCGCCCACCAATGACTACAATGAAGACGCTAAAGATCAATTCTACGATAGGCTGCAGTCAATCGTCGAGAAGTGCCCAACAAAAGACCTGACTATTCTGCTGGGAGACCTAAATGCCAAGGTTGGAATTGACAACACCGGATATGAAGAGATCATGGGACGACACGGACTGGGAAAAAGGAACGAAAATGGTGAGAGATTTGCAAATCTATGTGCCTTCAATAAACTGGTCATAGGCGGGACTATATTCCCACATAAACGCATACACAAAAGCACATGGACTTCACCGGATCACACCACACAGAACCAAATCGACCATATCTGCATCAACAAAAAGTTCAGGAGGACGATGGAGGACGTGAGAACAAAGAGAGGAGCTGATATAGCATCAGATCATCACTTGCTGGTCGCCAAGATGAAATTGAAACTCAAGAGGCACTGGACAACGGGGCGGACAATATCACAAAAATTTAATACGGCTCTTCTTCGGGATAATGACAAACTCAATAAATTCAAGATTACCCTCAGCAATAAGTTCCAAGCCTTTCATGATCTACTCAATGGAGAAGGAACTACTATGGAGAGCAACTGGAAAGAGGTAAAAGAGGCAATCACTTCAACATGTCATGAGGTTCTGGGCCAAAAGAAGCACCATCACAAGGATTGGATCACGGTCGATACACTAGATAAGATTCAAGAAAGGAGGAACAAGAAAGCAGCAATCAATACCAGTCGAACAAGAGAAGAAAAAGCCAAGGCACAGGCTGAATACACAGAAGTAAACAAGCAAGTGAAGAGGAGCATCAGAACTGACAAACGTAAATATGTGGAAGATTTGGCATTGACGGCGGAAAAGGTTGCCAGAGAAGGAAACATGAGACAACTGTTTGAAACAACAAAGAAACTCTCTGGAAATCACCGTAAACCAGAACGACCAGTGAAAAGCAAGGAGGGCGAGGTAATCACCAACATTCAAGAACAACGAAACAGGTGGGTAGAACACTTCAAAGAACTCTTGAATCGACCAGGCCCACTGGACCCACCCAACATCGAAGCAGCACTCACGGACCTCCCAATCGATGTTGGCCCATTAACAATTGAGGAAAGCAGCATGGCTATCAGACAAATCAAGAGTGGCAAAGCAGCAGGACTAGACAGCATTCCAGCAGAGGCACTGAAAGCAGACGTGGCGGCAACTGCAAGGATACTCCAAACTCTCTTCAGAAAGATCTGGGATGAGGAACAGGTACCAAAAGACTGGAAAGAAGGACTTCTAGTCAAAATACCAAAGAAAGGCGATCTCAGCAACTGTGACAACTACAGGGGAATCACTCTTCTTTCAATACCAGGAAAAGTCTTCAACAGGGTATTGTTAAACAGGATGAAGGACTCCGTAGACGCACAACTTCGAGACCAACAGGCAGGATTCCGTAAGGATAGATCGTGCACAGACCAAATCGCAACTCTACGGATCATTGTGGAACAATCAATTGAATGGAATTCATCACTCTATATTAAATTGATCAACTACGAAAAAGCATTTGATAGCGTGGACAGAACAACCCTATGGAAGCTTCTTCGACACTACGGCGTGCCTCAGAAGATAGTCAGTATCATACAAAATTCCTATGATGGATTAAACTGCAAAATCGTGCATGGAGGACAGTTGACAAAGTCGTTCGAAGTAAAGACCGATGTCAGGCAAGGTTGCTTACTCTCACCCTTTCTCTTTCTCCTGGTGATCGACTGGATCATGAAGACATCAATATCTGAAGGGAAGCACGGGGTACAGTGGATAGCTAGGATGCAATTGGATGATCTAGACTTCGCAGATGATCTGGCTCTTCTATCGCATACGCAATAACAAATGCAGAAGACAACCAGTGTAGCTGCAGCCTCAGCAGCAATAGGTCTCAATATACACAAAGGGAAAAGCAAGATTCTTCGATACAACACAGCATGTACCAATCCATTCACAATTGACGGAGCTTTGGAAGATGTAAAAACCTTTACATATTTGGGCAGTACCATCGATGAACACAGTGGATCTGATGCAGATGTGAAGACACGGATTGGCAAAGCAAGAGCAGCATATTTACAACTGAAGAATATCTGGAACTCAAAACAATTAGCAACCAACACCAAAGTCAGAATTTTCAATACAAATGTCAAGACAGTTCTACTGTATGGGGCGGAAACCTGGAAAACTACGAAATCCATCGTCCAAAAGATACAGGTGTTTATTAACAGTTGTCTACGCAAAATACTTCAGATCCGCTGGCCGGACACTATAAGCAACAACCTACTGTGGGAGAGAACAAATCAGATCCCAGTGGAGGAAGAAATCAGGAAGAAGCGCTGGAAGTGGATAGGACACACATTGAGGAAAGCACCGAACTGCGTCACAAGACAAGCCCTCATATGGAATCCTCAAGGTCGAAGGAGGAGAGGAAGACCAAAGAATACATTACGCCGGGAAATGGAGATAGATATGAGAAAAATGAACAAGAATTGGATGGAACTAGAAAAGAAGGCCCAGGACAGAGTGGGTTGGAGAATGCTGGTCGGCGGCCTATGCTCCATTGGGAGTTACAGGCGTAAGTAAGTAAGTTCCGCTAATCCTGGCTTACTTTGGACAACTGGGTAGTGCTACTAGCACTTATACAGAGTCTTACCGTTAAAACAAGCTTTAACCTCGCTAGTCATATAACAGTGAGCCTCCTAATAGTGACTATGGGACAATTAGATGGACAGAAACCCTATAAAATCTAAAGTCCAAACACGTTCGACATCAAATAGATAAGAATAGAAATGTATACATTCAAAATGCTGACCAGACCTACAGGTATTAGAATACACGAATACCTGGAGGCATTCCGAGGTAGTCAATTACTTGTTTGAGTCTGGCATTTGATTATTTTGAAAGTCCTATGACAAAGCTCGATTTTAAAAGCGAGTACGGAACAAGCGCGCAATAAAATGTTCACGGATTCTAGTATGGAAGAAAAATAAGTGAGAATTAACAGGAATATTGACCGTTACAACTACTTCCTAACTGTTTAATGGACATATTTGCCATTTCATTTACGAGATTTACAAGTATTTTTACTTGAGCCTATATATTACCATTCATCTCCAGTACTCCGCCTAGTTAGACGAAACAATAACGGACAAATGAAAGATTATTCTCAAGCCTTGACCGTAAATCCAAGAAAGCTTAGTATGAATTCTACACCTAAAAACGAGTTAACAACTCTACGACAGATTAGCTGCAACATTTCAATGACTATATGCGAAGTGGCTGAATATGGAAATTGTTTCAGTAAATAACGGAATCACATCAGTTGTAATTGATTTTTAAGCACATAATCTAGTTACGGGCATGCAGATCTGATAAGGATTAGCTTACAGTATTGAATTTCTGGAAATCCCGAGATTGTCTGGAGAATTACAACACAATATATGATATCCGGTTACTTATTAGCGCATTACTACTGGACAGCTGAACACTCTGGGCTACAGCAACACGAAGTGTGACTTTAGAAAATTCTAAGTGGCATCTATGATTACATTAAGCAGACGTTTTGGAAATCTCTTATACAACCAGTATGAACACTTTATGACTGATCTAAAATCTCCAGGTTTCTGAAACCTTGTAAGTTAGTAATATGGCAAGAGTTTAATGGCTGGCCAGTGATTAAAGATTACTGTTGCAATCTCCCTACATGAATTAGTAAACACATATGATACTGAATGTCATCAAATGTAACGCACATACAGAATTGTG